GGACAAGAAGGATGAGAGGTCCAGCCTACAAAAGCAAATGGAATACAGTCTGTTAGCAAACAACCCACTAAACTACATGTCACTCCATTCCACTTTTTAACATACTTCCCCACTTATATATATACACTCACTGCCCACACTCGTTCCCTCAGTTCCTAAACCATTCAAGAAACTAGAAATCAGTTTTCCTACAAATTAAACCATGAAAACCCCTCTTTTTTCTCTAGTTTTCCTCTTCTTTTCCCTAGCCCAAGGTCTGCAACTCAAATGTGACACCCAAGACCATGGCTCAAACCTAGAAGTGTTCCACATTTACAGCCCATGCTCACCTTTCAAACCCTCAAAGCCGCTCTCATGGGAAGAGGATGTGCTCCAAACGCAAGCCAAGGACCAGGCCAGGCTGCAGTACTTGTCAAGCCTGGTGGCTAAGAAATCCGTGGTGCCAATAGCTTCAGGCAGGCAGATTGTGCAGAGTCCAACTTACATTGTCAGGGCCAAAATTGGGACCCCACCTCAAACCATGCTCATGGCCATGGACACTAGCAATGATGCTGCTTGGATACCTTGCTCAGGCTGCCTTGGCTGCTCTTCTAGTGTTTTCGACAATGCTAAATCAACCACATTCAAGACCCTTGGCTGCCAAGCTGGTCAGTGCAAACAGGTACCAAGGATAATGCTTTTCACTTCTCAACAATTCACAGTTGTCACTTACTTGACTCGAAGCGCTAGACTAGCGCGTGGGAAAGATTGGTTTTACATGCTTCCATATGTTTTTTAATATGTATAGCTATTTTATCATTTTTGGCTAAATTTGTGATAGCTGACGAAAGAGTTCACCGGAAGTTGTCCTGTCAAAACAGGAAACATGGTAGATTCTATGGCTGTTATCTAATCTCTCTTAACACTTGCATCATGTGATGATTTCAGGTACCAAACCCCACTTGCGATGGAAGCGCGTGCATATTCAACATGACCTACGGTGGTTCAAGCATTGCAGCAAACCTCTCACAGGACACAATCACCTTAGCCACTGACCCTGTCCCGAGCTACACTTTCGGTTGTCTCCAAAAAACAACCGGTAACTCGGTGCCGCCGCAGGGCCTACTGGGGTTGGGCAGAGGTCCACTGTCACTTCTCTCACAAACCCAAAACGTGTACCAATTCACATTTTCATACTGCTTGCCTAGCTTTAGGTCTCTAAACTTCTCTGGGTCATTGAGACTTGGGCCAGTTGGGCAGCCATTAAGGATCAAGTACACCCCATTGCTGAAGAATCCTAAAAGACCATCACTTTACTTTGTGAATCTGATAGGAATTAGAGTTGGAAGGAAAATTGTTGATATCCCACCAAGTGATTTAGCTTTCAACCCTACCACCGGTTCTGGTACAATTATTGATTCTGGTAATGCTTATTGCTTCTGGTACCATTATTGATTAGGTTGAATTTTATTATGTCATTGAAAAACTCACTAAACTTTGCTATTCAACTTAGGTACCGTCTTCACCCGGCTAGTAGCAACGGCCTACGTAGCCGTCCGGGACGAGTTCCGAAGGCGAGTTAGGGTCACCAACGTGACATCCCTGGGTGGGTTCGACACATGTTACACCGTCCCAATCGTGGCACCGACGATAACTTTCATGTTCGCAGGCATGAACGTGACACTGCCACAAGACAACCTACTAATCCACAGCACGGCAGGCAGCATCACATGCTTGGCCATGGCATCTGCCCCAGAGAATGTGAATTCAGTGCTGAATGTGATAGCCAATATGCAGCAACAGAACCATAGAGTACTTTTCGATGTGCCCAATTCGAGGCTGGGAGTGGCCCGTGAGCTCTGCACCTAGACTTTTGGTTGCATTCTCATAGTAACTTTTGGGAAAGAGTGGGGAATTGGGACATGGGGGACAAAATATATGACATCCAAATCTAAGTCAAAATTTTTTTTTTGTAGCTTTGTATTTGGGGTAAGTCCAAGTCTATGTCACGGGCTTTCTAATATCTCATCTCGTTGTCTTCTTTTTTTATATTGGGTTGATGATTAGTTTAGTAGGTTGTACCATGGTACGGGTATTTGCAAATTAAGACTAAGTTGTCAAGAAATTTCTGTTTACTAAAGTAACTTTTATATACCATTTCCTACTATTTATATTTTACATCTTTTGACTTATGTTGAACTTTGAATTTGGTTGATGTGGTGATCATAATTTTGTCATTGGTTAAATTGTTAGATTAATGGTTGTCACATGGAGGCAACCCCTTGTATCAATATAATTAAAGATTTTCCAATGGAAACCGTTGGCGCTAGGCAAGAGTGCATAGGTTTTGTTGGCATGGCAGTGGAAAGTCTTGTGCCAAATAAAGGAAATGAAACAATGATACTTAATTTTCCAGATAGCAATACCAGTCATGATTAGGTAGGTAATTTTTCCACACCTGCCAATGAAAATGAACTCAAGACCAGTGTTATTGTGAACTAATTGTGCAAAAGACCCCAGCATTTGGCAAAGGTCAATCCGCAGGTGTCCAAGCCCCACGAGTAAGCGGTCACTTGATGAAAGATAGGCCAACTTTGAACAACTCCATATCTTGACATGTTGATGCCTAAACCTACAGAAGCTAACCAGCCCCCGATGTTTTGCATCAAATAAGTAAGCTCTCCGACAACGACCAATTCAAAGAAATTCAGTTTTTGTTAAGCCCAACATCATAAGTAAACTCTGGGATGTTTGAGAGACAAACTTTTGTTTGAATGAGCAAAGATCAAGAGAACTCTCATGTCACACTTCTTTGCACCCAACAATTTCTAATTCACACAGCCTTGAAGGGTTTGGAATAAAAACTGCCAATTATCATGAATCACAAGTGTTTCCAAGCGAGGAAGACAACTTAGTAGACTTCTCAATATATACTTTGGGCCATTTCTTGACAGAAAGATCATGGAGGTAAGTGAAGATCCTATTTTGCTCATCAAGTTGGTAAGGATTCCACTCCTTCAACTCTAGCATATCTTGGAATTGAAGAATCTATAACGATGGAGATGCATTTGTTCAATTTCTTTAACATCACTCCTCAAGGTTAATCAGTACAACCAAGAACAAAAGGTAGCACTAAGCATTGTGTCTTTACAGTGTACCATTACAATCGGACAACTAGAACTCAAAATTTTTATCCCTCTTTATAAAAGTTAAAATACACTGTATGATAATTAAAGTAGTAATTCATAATTAGCTATTAATGTAAAAAAATGAAATAATCAACAGCCCATAAAAGCGAGACACCAGATTTTACGTGGAAAACCCCTCGGTAAGGGGAAAAACCACGGGACCAAGTCCGTTCAAATTCTTCCACTACTCAAAATAATAGGATTACAGAAGTCTTCTCTAGTACAAGTAAACTATATGACGTGAAGTTATTAATAAAAAGCTAAATTTCTAACAACAATAATCACCTTATAAAACATGCTAAGGAGAAACAATCTCACCAAGTATGAACTTTCTGCGGAGACTGGAGGCACATCAAGTCGTTAAAACACCATAACTATGCCTCATTGTTCATTTAAATTAAGGTGGTCACTTTCTCATCTATTTTTCCCTTAGCCACACAATTCTCCATCAAATCACTTTTGGCAATCGGCTATTACTTTACACTATGCAGCTCTCTAACCATCAAGTCTTTCGAATTAGACATTCTTGAATCAACATCACTGCCCATGGTTTAAGGGTGTTGTATAAGATGATTTTTTTTTGGAAGAAAGGATAAAGAAATCCACTAGTGCAAAAACATACACTCACATGCTGCCTGGAAACCTTTCCAACATTGATTTTGAGGGCATTGGAATGAGATACAAAATCAAGAGTTTTGTTCATCCCTGTCGTACAAAGGCCAAAGTATTCTGTTGTTAGTGTTGAGAAGCAAAAAACTTACTATAGTAATTCTCATATACTTGTGATGCTTACGTGGCATAAGCAAGCAAGGAACTATAAACATCTAACATTAATTGGTAGAACATCTTGTGGAGTGGCTACTGTCATTATACTGCTTCTGCTCACATCCAATGAATGATGACAGAAACAAATACTTCCTGAAGAGCCAAATAACATAATTTGGTGATGTGAAATGAAGGCACTAATTATGAATAGGCACAAAGGAGATAGAATTCATAAAACTTCTCGTAGTTGTTCTCACTTGTGGTACTTGGAAAGAAGTGTAGAGTCAAGTCAAAGCACCAGCCTTTGCATTAAGAAGAAAAGAGATGAATTTCAGACTTGCTGATTCTCTAATGCTAAAAATCTTATTCTTAATATATACCAAAGTTGCCACAATACTCCTGATTTATCAAAAACCATAGCATGACTACCTTAGTGTTTAGTTCAATGAAATATTGAATTTTAGAATTTGAATATTGAATACAAGACCATTATTATGATGCTTTTATTTTACTTGATATTTTGTAAAACACGGAAATTAGTATATAGTTACCTGGCTTCCAAATTCATAATGCATTGGGATCATCTTCTTCGCTCTACTAAATTATTTGAAAGTTGGTAATCAAAGTATCTAAGCTTAGAATTTAAGATAAAGAAATAGAGAATTGTGAAAATAACATTCATGATAATTAGGAGGAAGGCTTTATTCTATTAAGGATGCATTCAATAATTGACCTTTGAAACTTACCATTGGTATTAATTGTTGTCAATGAATTACGTCCAAAGGTTTGAATTTCATTCTTTCTTAGGTAATTCACACTGAAATTCCTGCACATTTGACATGAGAAGCACTTTGTAATTATAAAACTTTAATTAACTGTTTGAAAGTGAAAAAGAATTCTACTAATAATGATAGAGAGGAATTTTAAATATACATGGCACAGTGAATAGGAGGAAAACAGGAAGTATTACCTAAGAGCTTTCATGCTTCTTTTTATACATAATTAATAAATCAATCATCAATATCAACATAAAGCACTCCTTTTGAAAAGAGCTATCTGACTTTTTAACAATTGATTCAGCAGGTAACAGTCGTACAATATGTAGCTACAAACTGAACAAAGCACTCCTTTTGAAAAGAGATGAATGACTGGCAATTAAGTATTCTCCATTTTTAAGGCAGCACAGGGATAAGTGCAGAATTTTATCTTGATGGGGGCAAAGTTATCTAGCTGATTGTAAAACTGAAATTTATGAAACATTCATTTAGGTTTAGTACAAGTGTTAAAGGTAATATGAAGCATTGATATATCTAGTGCTTTCCCTTGTGAAGAAAAAGTTCACTTAGTTATGCATTATTA